TTTATTGTTAAGAATAATAATTTTAAAAAATATGTATGTGTGTCATCTTTTGACAAGTTTATATTAGTTTATTAATTATAGTAAACATTATGTAGTGTGTGGTGTTAGTATTTTGTCTGTAAGTTTTTGGATTATGTTCGACACTATTTTTTTGATATGACACAACACTGATGAAGGCTATAATGTTAGCCGAAACGTTTGTTTTTTCTTTAAAAACCAAATAAAGATAATGAAAACCCAAATGAAAACTTAATCAGAGTGTTTCCCGAACCTAAATCCCAAGAAAATCAAAAATTTTAGAATATGTCGACTTTAATTCGTAAAGTCAGTTATTTATAAATTTTAGTAAGTATTTAGTTTATTATACAGGGTTAATAAAAGAATTTTTTTCACCTCTAGTTTAAAACACACTAATTTTGTGAGGAAATTTTCCTAAAACATTTTTTTATTCAAAACCATGTGTCTTGAGAGTCCTGAGCATTTTCACATGGAATCATGTGAGCATTTAGTATTTTATTAGTAAGTCTATTACGCTATACTGTTCGGGTCGCTCTCAGGGGGCGGGTAAAGCCTTGGTAAAGGAGGTTTGTGGCCGAAGGAAATATACATTATATTAAGTATATTTCAGAAAGCTGCCTAAGGCTTAGCCCGATCCTGTCGTGTTTAAGACACACGAGCTTTTTTTTTAGATTAAATCTTGATTAAGGTTTGCAGAGCTTCAGTATTTGCCATAAAATAGCGAGCAGTTTGTTACAAAACCATATAAATTCTATCACTGTAATCACAAAGCTTCAATCTATTTCCGTGTTGTAACGGAATTTTAAATTATGTCTTTATTTTCGAGAAAATTTAGTCCAAACATAAGGAATATTTTGTTGAGGTTAGACCATCAAAATCTTAAAAATAAAGAAGTTGTCTAAAAATCTGCTACAATAGGCATATAGAATAATCCTTTATCTTTAAATTCCTTCTTCATTTGTGTAAAAATACCTAGCCAGTTTTACATAAAACGTAAATGCCGAACGCTTATTTTGCTACTTCTTCGGACTAGTGAAACGGACTCTTAATCAATAAGCATTTAAATAATTTCAATACATACCTTGGTTAATTTTTAAGAGAATCAAATCAAACTTGCCACAGTTGTCACCAACAATTTACATTTTTTTCAAATATCATTAACTATTCACTCCTCAGCACAAGTCATATATTTTTTTTGAAACCATATTATTACATAGATCAGAGGTCTTGGCTGGATCTTAGAGATAATTATAGTGGTGGAGCATGGTACAAAGAATACAAGGTATGATATTGCGCAGGTTGGTCGCTACGTCACAGGTGATAACAGGCGCTATTGGTCAGCACGCTCCGCGCGCCAGTTCAAATCGTCAAGGTATTGTTATAAACCTGTTTTTTTGTTTATATACGGTCATTGAATTATCGCTAAGCAAGTTACTGTGGAGCAGTGCGTAAGGAGTTGGGCTAGGAAGCGAGAGACCGGAGTTCGAATCTCGGCGGGACATAACTTTTTTTTTTAAATACTGTTGTATTCTATAGTTTATTTTTGTAGTATAAAAGAAAGAACTATTTATTCTGTTATTTTTTAATCTGCGGTATTAATATAAATCGATTGTTGGTACAATACCTCATTTAATATAAAATAATATCTACTTTTTGAAATGTATCGGGCACTAATTGTACCTAAAAGTAATATATTTTTAGTGATATACCATATTGTAAACTATTTAATATTTCAGTCACTTAAAAAGTTAATTTGCATTGAATAATTGCCTACCATTAAAGGAAATTTGAGCTATATAATCCTTGATGGTCATATTCTGGGTATGCAAATACTTCCTCTAAATTTTGGGTTTCGTTCAACCGATTTATTCTCAAAACCTGAAACATCTACATATAAAAAGAAGCACAGGTCACTAATTATAATAGACTTCACCCTTGGAATTACTTCTATCACAATTACAATACATTCATCTGCATTGGCATTTTCTACTTTTCGATGGGAAACTTCAACTTCCCAACATTTTTTAAATGATGTAACAATTCCTCTTGTGGTTACTTTTCCATAGATATCCTCATCTCTGTCCTCATGTGAATTCAGAGGCAATGAACATGAAAATTATTTACCATAAACATCGCAAACTAAAAACCTAATAAACAATTTTATACCGAATATAGAAATAAATTTAGTATTCTTACCTATTATTATCGTCCAAATCCATGTTAATAGATAATTATTTTTAAATATATTTTTGGAACTGCTGGTTTTAGTAATTATTAAATTAAACGAACTAAAAAGTCTTAAAAATAAACAATTCTTAACCATAACCCCAAAAAATGCAGATCTCCTGTCAACTTTCTTTATTTTTTATTTATTCATTATTTTCCTAGTGACGTCACAGGTGGTATGCGCGAACTGAACGAAATTGGAGCCGCTATCGATCATACCTTGTATTCTTTGTACCATGGTGGCGGAGTGGTAGTCATTTAGTCATGTGGTAGGTGGTAGGAAAGACTAAAGACATTATTTTTGGATTAGGTTAAAGGCCCTGTTATGACAGAGCTTCAAAAAAATTATGTTATAGACTCATTTGAGTTGACCCCCACCACGGAAATCTTTAGTAAAAGGCGAAAGATTTATTCGCTCTGATGGGAGTCCAGAGTGACTAGAGCAGTTCAGTTTTCACAGTGTCAATAAGATAAATATTTAAGTTAGGGTGAGATATTCTCTTTAGCGACATCTATCGGAAATATACTAAGTTTACATTAAGGGCCAAAGGGCACAAAACATACCCTTTCCAAAAGGGTCCCTAAAGGCAAATACAGAGACCTTTTTTTCTTTACCTGGGGTAAATTATTTCATTGAAAGCCGAGGGATGCTATCAAATACGTTTAATTTAAACGTATTTGGATGCTATCGTAGCGTCTAATCAGTATAAAGTAACGCTATAGATAAAACTTAAGAAATGTGACAGAATGAAAGATCAATAATTATAACAAGATTGCAGGAATCTACTTCTCGACGTTGCGTTGATGGATTCAAACAGCAAAATAAAATAAGAATACAATAAATTAGTAAGACATGCAGATCATTTTTTAGATAATTTTTTATTTACTCAACATGTCTTTGATAAAAACCATTGCATATACCGATCTGGCCATCGAAACTGCGTGGTTTGAATTTTAACGTGTGACAGTAATGTAGACAGATTAAATGAAAAATCAAATATATTAAAAATCTTTGAATAAGAAGACTAAGGAAGGAGCATAATGCTATCCATGTATTCATGCATGGTGGGCGGAAAAAGCACCATAAAAGCACTCTAGGGTGGGGATCCTTGACAGTTCTGTTTGACGATTCATTTGACACATTTGAATTTGATTTGAAATTTTGTGGATTTGTCAGTCTTTACGGAGCTTATTTTATGTTATTTATTATTTATTCTACTACTGATAGTTGTATAAAGGTAGTAAATCTAGATGGAAATTGTGGCAGAACTTAAATTAACAGTGACACTATCGCGATTTATCGAAAAGACTCTAAAATAGTTGGTTGTGTAGCGTGCGGTAGATCTCGGCAAAAATTGAGTGAAATAATGGAACAACTTTTCGCTAGTAAGTGACTATATATAATATACATACGTGTAGCAAACCGATCATTTATGAAATTCACTTAAATTAACTAAATTATATATTTTCGTCATACTATATTGTTATATTATTATAACATAAGCAAAATCAGAATGGAAAAGATGCATATAACGTCCGCCGGACGTTATCATAACGGCCGGCGGCCGTTAAGTTTCTAAGGTAATCGTAACGTGTGTCACCTGCAACAATGACTATTTATTGTCAGTTGGACTTTTCAAAAATTGGGAAAATAGACCATAGCGAGATGTCGCGAGAAATTCCGTTGGAAATACAGGAGGAAGCGGCTGCGGCTACTCAAAATTATACTTCCGACTATAACCAGAGAGAGATATCAGCAGGAATATGACAATTTTTTGAAGTGGCGGCAGGATAGAAGTATAAACAGCGTAAATGAAGCGGTATTGCTGGCTTATGCTAAAAGAATGTCTGAAATGTATTCTCCTACATCACTGTGGACAAAGATATCCATGCTGAAGCTTGCGTTGAGAGTATATGAAAACATCGACATATCAAGGTAAAAAGCCATTGTATCGGTACTACTGCTTGAGAGCACCAAATCCAAAATTGAGAGTAATATTCAAATTACTCTCGAATGTGTAATTGTGTAAAAATCAAAGTGGATCCAGTACACGTCGCAAAAAAACTACTAGGGTCAACAACAATACGTATATTGGCAAATGATAAAACTTTAAAAACGGTAAATCAAACTGAAATTAAACAAATTCACTGCAGCTTCCCATTAACTTAAAGGTAAACTTGATATATAAAATACCTACAATAAATAGGTGAGAGAGAGAAATAACATTGCCTAACTGAGGCGAGAGTAATATTGCGAGAATTAGCGAAAAAGTGTACAATTCAGAGACTGAATTAATAGGCGTGATGCTGCCTGAGAGGGTTCACGGGCGTCTCTTCGTGACAAAATAGAAAGTTAAGATCTGCCATTCGAACAAGACAAAAAAACACATGGCCGTCAAGGGTGGTATTTTAAGTGTTTTGCAGGTCAATTTAGCGAAGCGTGTGAAAGCATCCCCTTCGTGATCAACTTTCTATTTTGTATACATTAGGTAGTAGGATAATTTTAACATATTTACAAAACTAATACTAGGTGTTCATCAAAATAGTAAAAAACAAATGCGTTTGAATTGTATTCGAACATACTCCCCGCCTTAAAGGCTCTGCCTTTAACCGCAAACAACAGGGTAACTGAGGTATGATGAATCATCAATTGCATTTTTACAATATATCTAAACAATCTAATTTAGCGTACGCGACAAACTTAAATCAAAATTTAAAGGAAACATACTATAAAGAAAATTATTTTATGATTAGGGCTAGTTATCGAGTTTGGGTAGGGGACATAATTTAGTGACGTTTCTTGTTAAAATGCCATTTTTAGATTTTACTTTAACAAGTCTAACATTTCCGTCCTTACTGGGTATAATTTCAAGTACCCTAGCCAGAGGCCAGTCTAGAGGTTTAGTGTTAATTTCCTTTAAGAAAACTATGTCGTTAACTTGAAGGTTTGGTGCGGGGTATAGCCATTTTGGTCGATTCTGGAGAAGATTGAGGTAGTCTTTAGACCATTTGGACCAAAACTGTTGTTGAATTTTTACACATCGTTGCCAGCGATTAAGTCTATTTTCTGAAATATTGGAAAGGTCTTTTTCTGGGAAAGAGGTCAACGAAGTTCCTATCAAGAAATGTCCCGGGGTTAAACAAGTAAAATCTGAGGGGTCAGAGGATAAGGGGAGAAGAGGTCGTGAATTTAATATTGCCTCAATTTGTGTGAGTATTGTATATAACTCCTCAAAAGTAAAATTCTGCTGTCCTGCTAATCGCCTTAAATGATATTTGGTACTTTTGATTCCGGCTTCCCATAAGCCGCCCCAATGGGGAGAATGTGGGGGAATAAACTTCCAGTTTATCTCATTGCATACCAATAAATCATTTATCTGTTCTTGGGTTGACTTAGACTTGAATAGAGTGTAAAATTCTCTGAGTTGGTTTCGTGCACCTAAGAAATTTGTTCCATTGTCACTAAAAATGACATGTGGATTTCCTCGCCTTGAAATGAATCGTTTTAATGAAGCCAAAAATGCTTCTGTAGAGAGACTTGACACCAATTCTATATGTATAGCCTTGGTAACCATGCAAACAAATAATGCTATGTAGCATTTTTCGGTTTTTGAGCGTCTAAGACTCGACGATTTCACAAAAAAGGGGCCACCAAAATCTACACCTGTGCGTGAAAATGGCCGAGAGGGAATGACTCTGTCTTTTGGGAGATCAGCCATCAGCTGTTGATGGTTTTTTATTTTGAATCTACAACATGTCATACATTGCAAGCATTCCTTTTTGATTTCCCTTAATCCATTTAGGGGCCAATATCGGAGGCGAAGATTTGACAAGACAGTTTGAGGACCAGCGTGTCCGAGTCTAATATGCTCTTTAAGTAAGAGTAGTTTGACAACGCGATTTTTTGAGGGCAATAAAATGGGAAATTTTTGATCATATGGGACTAGAGCTTGTGATAATCTTCCTCCTACTCTGATTACATTTTCTCCATCGATAAATGGATTTAATTTTAATATTTGTTTGTCCGATATCTTCCGAGCTGGACTTTTTAACTCGTTTAGTTCTTTTGAGAAATACGTAGACTGAATTGTTTTTATTATGAAAAGTTCAGAGTTTCTTAATTCATCAACAGTGAGAGGTCCAATGAGTTTTTGAGAATTAGCGCGACTATTATTAATAAACCTTAATATAAATGCAATAGATCTTCGTAATTTGGAATAATTGGAAAATCGGTCAAACAGTGTTTCCCAGAAATTATCATTCCTGAGGAGTAAGACAGTACTTTCCTTTCTTTCTTCTTCGTGAGTTGGAGGTACCTTGATATTTAGTGAGTCTAAGTCGAAATCAAAGGTTTGTAGAAACTGTGGTCCATTCCACCAAAGAGAAGAGTTCATTATTTGCTCAGAAGTTGTACCACGAGAGAGGCAGTCAGCAGGATTTTCTGCACCAGGGATGTGCCGCCAAACATAATTATTAGTGAGAGATTGGATCTGCGATATTCGGTTAGCAACAAACACATTGAATCGTGAAGAATCAGCCTTTAGCCATGCTAGAACAATCTCTGAATCTGTCCAAAGATTCACGCTATGAAAATTATACCTATCCTTAAATATGGATTTGACACGACTAATCAAAGTTGAAAGCAATAGAGCACCACAGAGTTCTAATCGGGGTATTGTAACTTCCTTGATTGGAGTTACTCGAGATTTTGAAGTAATTAAGTAGCATGATACAGAATTATCAAGGTAAATAGTTCTCAGGTAGACACAAGATCCAAAGGCCTTGCGACTGGCATCACAAAATCCATGAAGTTCAACAGAAGATATCTGGTTATCGTGGAATATATACCGGGGTATTTTTAAACACTTGAGTTGAGTAATATTTTGAAAATAAGAATTCCATATTGTGAGAAGACTATCGTTCAAATATTCGTCCCAGCCAATCTTTGCCTTCCAAATATCTTGCATGAATATTTTAGCATTAACTATTATAGGGCCAATTAATCCTAATGGATCGAACATTTGCGCGATTTTTGATAAAACATCCCGTTTAGTGGCTGATGTGCAAATTGCAACATCGGGTAGCGATATAGAAAATACGTCAGCTTCTGAATTCCATGAAATACCTAGAACTTTGTTTGAAACTCCTTCTACTTTAATGTCATATGCCTGTACGTCGGAGGATACATTAGAAGAATTAACGATTTTTAAAAGAGAATTCGAATTTGAGCACCACTTGTGCAGCTTGAAATGCGCGCCTTTGCATATTTCGTTCAATTGAAAATACAGGTCTTTTAACTTATCGAGAGTGTCTTGACCACACAAAAGATCATCAACATAGCACTGTGAGAGGATTGTGTCAGCGGCAAGAGGGTATTCTTCCTTATTTAAGAATGCCAGCTCGTTTAGAACACGAGTGGCTAAATATGGAGCGGAGTTAGTACCATAAGTCACTGTTTGCAGCTCAATACATTGAAAATCATGAGCGGGATTACTACGCCAGAGGATATTTTGCAAGTATGTCTGACGTGGGTTCACTCGGACCTGTCTGTACATTTTCTCAATGTCGGCAGTGAGGACGAATTTGAAGCTTCGGAATCTCAGCAAAATATCATAAAGATCAGGTTGAACTGTGTATCCTTTGTACATTGTATCATTTAATGATAATCCTGATGACGATTTCATAGAGCCGTCAAACACTACTCGCAATTTCGTACTTGTGCTTTGTTCGCGGATAACACAGTGGTGGGGTAGAAAATATTTGTTATGGCCGTGAATGTTTTTTAATGAGAGAGGAACGACTTGCGCGTGTCCTAAAGAGAGATATTCATCAATAAAATTTTTATATTCCTGAAATAAATTTGGATTTTTTTCGAATCGCCTTTCTAAATTAAGGAATCGTTTTTTGGCGAGAAAGAATGATTCTCCCAGAGGAAATAATTTTTCAGGAATTTTGAGGGGAAGATTCACTTGAAAAGAACCGTCATTCAAAATAACGGTAGTTTCGCGAAAATTAGTTTCCACAAAGTTATTTTCTGGAGATAAAATTTTCTCCGAGGATTGAGGGCAGTTCTCCATGTTCCAAAATTTTTCCAACAATGAATCAAGAGCAAGATCTGAATTCCGAGCAAGAAGACAGCTGCGGTTGTTGGTGACATCAAATATAGCCTGTGTTGAGAAAGTATCCGGAGGAATTAGGCCAGACAAGAGATATCCAAAGTGTGTTCCAACCAAAGTGAGGGAGTGTTCATTAATTTTTAATAGGTCACCTGATAAAATCTTATAATAAATATCAGCACCAAGTAACATATCTACACAAGCAGGTTGATCAAACTTAGGGTCAGCAAGTTCAATGCCTTGAGGGATCTGCAAGTTACTTTGTTTTACTCGAACTCGAGGACTGACATCAGTAATTTTATTTAAGATGCAACAATTTGCATCGAGAGAGAAATTTCCTATCAACGAGCATAATGTAAGTCGAATTACTTTGCTCGTGTGTTCAATTTTTCCCCCAATTCCTGAAATTTGAACGTTTTGAGTTTCCGGGGTATGATTGAGCATTTCCAACAGTCGTTCAGTGATAATGGATATAGTGCTGCCAGAATCAAGTATGGCTCTGGCAGTAATGGTATGTCCATTTTTGGCAACGATGTTGACAAGGGCTGTTGCCAACAATACTTCGTTATCTTCTTGTGTAAAAACAGTGAGTGTTTGGTGACTATTAGTGGTTTGCTGGGGTAGATCATTGGGGTTTGTTTGGGATGGCTGCTTAGGTTCAGGGGGTTGAGAAGTAGAGTTCATGCCTTGGTTACTCTGACGAGCATTGTTTTGAGAATTGTTCTGTTTGAACCTTTGAGTGGGGTGACTAGCAGAATGCAGCAACGAGTGGTGTCTTTTCTTGCATACTGAGCAAGACAAGAGTGACATGCAGTCACGAATATGATGTTTCGAACCTAAACAGTTTATACATAATTTGTTCTGATAAACAAAATCACTTCTTCGGTTCAAGGGCAATTGAATAAACTGTGAACAAGAGTAAATTCTGTGAGTGGGTAATTTACAAAAAATACAATTAGTGGGCCTAGAGGTTCCAAATTTATTTGAGATATCGTGGGATGAGTGAGTGTGGTGAGAATTAATTTGGCCATTACCACCTGGCTCATTGAATCCTTGAGCAAGGTGAGTAGCCCTATAGAAGCTACTATGGGCAGGGCCTCGAGGGGGACCGGTTTGAGTGTGAGGGGATATTTTGGGTTCTGAGAGGTCTTCCAAAACAGAGCAGCGTGATTCAAGGAAACTGAGTAAGTCATCTAGTTTTGGAAAGGTACCTGATGTAGCCTTTGATATATGTGCCCCTCGCTCAGCAATGTACGCCTTCCGCGTGCCATAATCTAGTTTTTGGGAAAAAATGTAAATGAGTATTAAATCCCATTGGTCTACTGGGATTCCTTGAGTTTTGAGAGAGTCGAGATTTTGTTTTATTTTTACGATAAAATCTCTAATAATATGAGCATTTACCTTAGTGAGAGAGGGTATGTCAACTAAATTCTTAATGTGCGAGAATATTATTGACAATTGATTATCATAACGTTGTTTCAGGGTTTCAATGGCAATATTTAAATTTGAGTCAGTTAATTGTAAAGTGTCAATGAGGTGTAGAGGCTCTCCTGATAGGTATGATTTCAGGTAAATTAACTTTTCTATATTTGAAAGCATATTGTTGTTAACGATAAGCGTATTAAATAATTGGTAGAATGCATTCCAACTAGTGAGGTCTCCATTAAACCGAGGAATATGCAATTGAGGCAGATTAACGTTAGGTTTTTGACCCTGATGATTTGATACGGGTACTGATGCCTGTTGAGTTTGCGATTGAGGCGAGAGCGTTATAATTTTACCCCTTAACTTTGCTCGACATGAGCAATACTTATCATCTATGTCATCCTTGTCTTGGCTGTTGGAATCTATTTCATAATTTGCATATTAACGGCTTCATACAGCGTGAAAGCTTGGGTTAAGCAATCTAACCTAGCTTCAAATTCCAAATAATCGGTTTCTGTGGTTGCGTTTTTATTATACCAATTTATAATTTTCGATATTTTTCCTTTATAAATTCCGCGTTCTTTAACCAAAGCTTCCAAACTTGCAGCCATTTTTTTTTACCAAGGCACGACAACTATTATAAATAAAAAAAACAATTTAGATAGCTCGCTATTACAATAGTTAGAATACCTGTGGGTTAGTGACGTTATATCTAGAAAATTTAGATGACAAAATGACCTACAATAAATTTAGAAACAATTAATTTACTAATCTAGTAGAGAAAGAGTTATTCTGAGTAACTTACTACAATATCAACTTATATGGGAGGCTAGCAGTGTAAATCTAGTGCGAAAATAACAACAATAAAAAAAATGAGGAAAGAGAGCAATATAATATGGTTTATATGATTTTCTTCGGGAGAGAGTCTCTAAAAAAGTTTATAGTCTATCGAGGACGAGATAATAGAGATTGTGGAGAATGGAATCCTGTTGAGACAATTTGCAAGACTACTTGTCTTACCTGGGATACTTCCAGCTTACACCTATCTCTTTTTAGCACACTATCACACACACGCGTTGTAGTCGAGTTACACTGTCACACACTCATCACTTCTTGTAGTTGTTTTAATGTCCAAAATACTGTCACTGTTTGAATTACCCTTTTATTGGAGCACTTCTACTATTGTGAGTTTTTTGTAAACATATACCATCACTTAAGGACCTTTTAAAGATCCGGCTCGAAGGACCAGCTTTTGTATCGGTACTACTGCTTGAGAGCACCAAATCCAAAATTGAGAGTAATATTCAAATTACTCTCGAATGTGTAATTGTGTAAAAATCAAAGTGGATCCAGTACACGTCGCAAAAAAACTACTAGGGTCAACAACAATACGTATATTGGCAAATGATAAAACTTTAAAAACGGTAAATCAAACTGAAATTAAACAAATTCACTGCAGCTTCCCATTAACTTAAAGGTAAACTTGATATATATAAAATACCTACAATAAATAGGTGAGAGAGAAAATAACATTGCCTAACTGAGGCGAGAGTAATGCGAGAATTAGCGAAAAGTGTACAATTCAGAGACTGAATTAATAGGCGTGATGCTGCCTGAGAGGGTTCACGGGCGTCTCTTCGTGACAAAATAGAAAGTTAAGATCTGCCATTCGAACAAGACAAAAAAAAACACATGGCCGTCAAGGGTGGTATTTTAAGTGTTTTGCAGGTCAATTTAGCGAAGCGTGTGAAAGCATCCCTTCGTGATCAACTTTCTATTTTGTATACATTAGGTAGTAGGATAATTTTAACATATTTACAAAACTAATACTAGGTGTTCATCAAAATAGTAAAAAAAACAAATGCGTTTGAATTGTATTCGAACAGCCATTATATTCTTCGATATTTAATCATACTCATCTAAATTATATTTGTTCATAGATTTGGTAAACTGTTCATGTTTCTGAGGCGCAAAAACGAAGGTTATTCACCAAAAAAAGCCAAAGTTCTGTCGGAGAATGACATAAATAATTTTCTACTGGATGCCGATGATTACACCTGGTTACTCGAAAAATTGTATTGGTGCTTGGTATTCTTGGAGCTTGTAGGCGCAGCGAGCTTTGGTCACTCACAGTTGATGATTTCGAAGATTCGAGAAAAATATTCTTGTCTCATTAAGAAATACTAAAATAAAGAAAGATAGGAAATTTCTTATTCCAAAAACGGGCCTTCCGTTTGATGCCTATGGTTTATACAAAAATACATCAACCTGCGTCCTCGTAACTTTGACAATCCAAAATTTTTCATTGGTTACAAGAAAGGCAAGTGTGTTAAGCAAATCGTCGGTATACATACCATCGGGAGCGTACCGCAGAAAATTGCAAAATTTTTGAACTTGGAGAATCCAGAACGTTATACAGGGCATTCATTTCGTAGATCATCAGCAACCATGCTCGCCGAAAATGGTGGTGATTTACTATCGCTAAAGGAGCTAGGAGGATGGGAGTCTTCAAGTGGCAGAAACTTACATAGAAAATCAGTTTCCAAAAGAATGAAAATAACAAATCAACTTTTTCATGATAGCTCCAAAATAATGTGTCTTTGGTGGATACAAATATTTGCCATTCTTCAGTAGCATCATCTTCTTTCTATAAAATCTGTAAATCCCTGGGAAGGATTACAGATTTCTAAGAACAACAAGTGCACTTTTAATTTCCATGTTCATTATCATGAAAAATGAATTTTAGTATAAGACATTATGTATTTTTTATCCTTACTTGTGTTATTGTTCAATAAAATTTGTTATTAAATAGTAGTGTTTATTGCTCTAAAAAATCTGCAGTATGACGAAAATCTAGAACGCAACACGGCCGATAATAACAAATAACGGCCTTGGCTGCTTATGATCCTCGGCTATCGCCTCGGATCACAAACTTCAGCCCGGCCGTTATTTGTTGTTTATCGGCCTTATTACGTTAATAACTATTTCTGGCATTTTAGCTTTTATTTATTACTTGTCAAAGATTAGATGCCAAAGAATTTAGATACGTTAATTTGACTTACCTGCTTCAGTAGCGTATGGGATGTTTGTGTTAATAAATAATTATTATAACTTATTTATTTTTATTAGAATTATATATTTTTATAACAATTTTAATAACTACCAACATTTATTCACAACGTAAAATAAAACAACAAATTATTGAGTCTACCCCATGTCTACCCTACATCATAGTTTTAAATTTTTTAAATAAAATTAGAACGACACTGATAAACCGGAATTTAAGTCGGCCATATTTGAGGCCCATCGCGGTGTACCTAAGATTTTTGATATGCTCCTTCCTTGAACGGCCCACTGTTGTGAACATACATTTAATATGGTTATATGTATATGTATATTCGACAAATTGTATAAAATATTATTTTTACCCTTATTCTACGGCTATGCCTAAAGAATTTAAGGTACGAAAAATACCATCAACATTATTATTCTTCTCAGAAAGATGGGTGATGCAAATAAACAGAACCATTACCTTAAGATGAAATTTGGAAGAAATAGTCATAAATAGTTGCATCATTTTTAGTTTTCCTTTGTAATTCGTTTACTTTCAGACGCGATGTCTGGTTTCTATTTACTTAAGAAATGGTCATGTTTGTCCCTTTGCAAACCTACCTGAAAATATTATTAAGAAATAGTAGGTACGCCCGTGGATTTTCGGAGAGGGCATTCTCATAAAAGCACGGTCACAGAAGGGACCGGGGACATTCATAAAAATTTTCATAGACGTAATACTGCTAAATTTATATTTTGTATTAAAAGTTTAAAAATAAAAAGTAATAACAACTTAGTAAGAATTTAATTATAAAAAAAATAAAGAATAACATTCCCAACAAGTGGTGATACGAGTCAAATAGAGAACTACAACATTTGGTGGCAGCGACTACAAGATTGGTGACGACGGTGGTCCAATCCAGGATCACGACACCACACATTATACGATTTATCGTACTGCAGGTTGTACAACACAAATTTGAGTCGACCGTTTGAACGACATATCGGACGCGCTGTTGTCCACAAACTTAAACTACAACGGGCCACACATTAATACGATTCGTCGTACTACATGTCGTACGACAAGTTGATACAACCGCTGGAACGACAGATCGGATCCGCGTTTATTCACTAACTAAAACTACCATTTGATGTTAATCACCAACAAGTAGTAGTTTTATTTTCCATTCATTTTGAATTCTATTGTAGCATCTGCTTTTATTTCTTTTAATTTTTCCAGTAGGATATCATAACTGGCATTTCTTTTTTGTTTATTTAGGTATTCCTTACTTTTCACATCCCACAAACAAGGTTGATTATGATAAATTTCTATA